CGGCATTCCCCCAGAAGAGCTGGAGGAAGTGTCTGGAGAGAGGGAAGTCTGGGCATCTTTGCTTAGACTGCTGCCCCAGCGACCCGGTCCCGGATAAGCAGAGGAAAATGGATGGATGGATGAATGGAATTTCTGACTTAGAGATCCTTGATTTGTTTTAAACAAAAGGACGTTGATTGATATGGAAGGGAGAATAGTGCTGCAGGGATTGGGGAAACTCTGCTTCTTCATTAGGTAATGTTGATACAAGTTGCTTCAAGTTGAGTAAAGGCGGTTGAACTGACTCTGGATAAGATGAGATAAGCACTTCCTCAGTCTGGTCTGTGTTAAGGAAAAAGCACCGTTTGTCAATCAACCCACCCCATGACAACACTTTACCTCTGGATTCAGCACAGTCTTCTGTCTTGGTCTGCAAATTTGACTTGAACTGTAAACTTCACATTACTGTTCTCTGATATTCTCAGTGCTACGTGTGTATGCATATAAACATGTATCTGAACTTGAACTGGCACAGTAGAATAACTATTTGTTGTGTGGGTCGAGTCACTTATGTAAGCAGCTCTGATTCTGTTTCCTGAATGTATGAGGCATTACATGTATTACGGTGACTGACTGAATAAAAGTAGACAAGATTTTTGGAGCTGACCTGACTTTGTTTTCCCCTGGAATCTATATTCCACTGGCTTCTTGCAAAAAAAAAGGTCACTCAATGCACCACATGTGGTTGAGATTAACACTGATATGAATGAAGGCTCTGCTGCACCAAACACACACATACAGAGAGGAAGCCAGATAGATGTTCAATAATCTTCATAAGCTCTTCTAACTTTCCATTGTAAAAATGATGTTATCATAACAAACTCACTGTGCAACCGAAGATGAAGATGAGGCTAAGGATTTCCAACTCTTTTTTCCATCATAAAAGTAGAGGACTGAATCTGGTTGCTGTGTATTTGAGAACAGCATCAGTCCTTGCTTTGATACTGTAAACTGTTCTTTAAATCTACTTTACTTGAAGTGTCAGATGGAAAGGACATACTAAACACAACAGTACCACAGTTTTGTGCAAGATGACCCCAGGATATATAACAGTTTCCAGTTCATTACGTGTAATACTGAATCCAGGTTTGATATCAGAGCTGTGTACTGCACTGTGCAAATATAGGGAAAACATAAAATATGAATTAACAGGACTCTGCCAGCTTGTGAATGCATGTATACGTGAAGTGTGGGAGTGGAAGTGTCTGGAAAAGAATCTGTGAACAAATATAATGATATCTTTTTGCACATTCCATGATGTATTTGGTCTCGGGGAGGTATAAGTCTCTGAGGATGGAGTTGAGACTCCTTGAAAGAGGGAGACAAATATTTGGATCTGACTCGGGACTGGAAATTTTAAAGGCACTTGACAGCATGGACAATACTAAGGGTGAGAGGAAAACGTGAGTCTGGGGCCTGAGGATGTAATTATAGCTTAAAGTGATGCCTGAGAGGGATTTTAAGGTGGGCGGCTACAGAGGACAGATAGTGTATGTGCCTCTGTGTTGAACTACGGAACAATTTTTATTATAACAAAGTGACTAGGTACTTCATGTACAGCCAGAAAAAGGCAGGCTTTTAGATTCAGAGGATTACATGAAATTCAAATATACTGTAATAGTCTCAGTACACTTGAAAACTTAAAAAAATATTTCTTTTTTTGACATTGTAACATGAAGCACTATTTGTTGAATGAAGGATTTTGCAGGGCTTACATTATATCTGGTGACAGTAATTTTCACTTCTTGAAAAAAAAAAACTGATTGCCTCAGTAGCCATGAAATGTCAGGTACAGTTTAGTTAAAGTACAGTTAATACAACTTACACTATTTAGTTAAAATCAGGAAAAGATTGTTTTAAATGTATTTTACACTTCACTCACAAACTGGTCAATTTAGTCATAGTTACATACATAGTCATATTTGAATAAATGGTTGGTTGTTTGATTTTCTTAGTACTACAATGAAAAAACGGCCCATGCTGCTGATGCCCAGCATGAGGGAGTAGTAGTGGTTTTCTTGGTGGTGGTGTCATGATTTGATCTCTCCTCTGCTAACATCATGCTGCGGTCTTAAGCTTTTGATGATTTATGGATATTTACAAAAGACTCTCCAGTTAAACATGACTCCTTAGAGTAATTAAACATTACTAGTAAACATTAGATTAATAATTAAATATTATTAGTAGCAGCCCTGCGATGGATTGGCGACCTGTCCAGGGTGTACCCCGCCTTCGCCCGATTGCCGGCCGAGATTGGCTCCGGCCCCACCCGTGACCCCGTTCAGGGACTAAGCGGTAGAAAATGAATGAATGAATGAATATTATTAGTAGCTAAACATTACTCCTTAGAGTAAATGTTTAACCAGTAACTGTTTAATCTTTGAACTAGGCATGACTGAACTATTCAGTGTCCTGCATGAAGTCCTCATGCATAAAGATAGGCTCAGTTCATGCACATCACTAGAAGACAGATCTGATCCTGTGACACATAAGCACACAATGTACAGTACATGATTTTTAGCCTATGCCCAGGTTAAAGTATTCTGTCAATTCTTATGATACAGATCATTGTCAGTATTATTTGAGATGTGTCCTAAATGGTTCCTTTAGAACTATACATCTCTCTGTGTGTACGTTGTTCTTTTAGAGTAAATTAAATACAAAGTCTTTCTTCAGGTCATAAGCACAAGAAATCGATTCCATGTATCACCCTTTGATAAGAGTGCCCACCCTCTCACATACTCTGACTAAAACCCTAAACAGTCCAAAGTCTGTCAGGCCATAAAAACACATTCTGACAGCTTATGCAGCACATTTAAAAAAAATCTCTGAATAGAACATTTCCATAATTAGAGACTGAATACAACTTCACAAGGATCCTCATCCTCAAAGAATGGAAAAGAAAAACACCTGAGTGCACAGCAATCCACACAGCTTACTGTTGTGTATAATGAAAGGTTTTTTGTTTTGATCAGGTTTGACAGCTGCAGCCGGGTGTGTTTCTCATTTAGCCTTTAGTTTTTTCTAAAGTGTGATTAAAGTCTTTCAACAAAATAGACTTTACCAGAACAAACAAAACATAGTCCCATGTGGAATGACGCATAGCAGAGATCTGAATTCAGATATCAGACACAGGAATGCATCAGATGATGATAATTAATCACCCCAATCATCAAGCCAATGTGTGCGTATGTGCACACAAATGTGTGGATGCACGTAACATGCACGTGTGCATTCAGATGCCCTTTCCAGAGAGCTGTCAGGTGATACAATGACGTTCTCCATGTTCACACTGGAATACAGACTGAGCTTTATGAGTGGAAAAATGACCAGTGTGTTCACGTGTGTGTGTGAGACGTTGTGTGCATATGTGCAGGGGTCATTAGGAGCCCACTCTGATTCGTGTCCATTGATGAAGAGGGTGAAATAAAATGAAATCACAAACCTCGAGGAGTACAACAAATTCTTGATATTTTCTAAATTGCCAGTAAATCCTTGTGGTGTGCTGGGAATATTTAATGTGTAGATATAATGAACAGTCTCTGCAGCTGCATCTGTTTGAACTTAGCCTGCAAGGTGTAATTAAAAAAAGCACCTTAAACAAAGCAAGGACAAATCAAAAGTGGAGCCTGTAATCAGCTTTATATTGTGTCGCAGAGAATTTATCTGCCCTTTAATTCAGGCTGTGTATAGGAAACTAGTGAAATTAAAGGTCAGTTTGCTTGTGTGTATTACTGTGTTCAACAAAACTAAATTGGTCTATATTTCAGATTTTGGTCACAAAGGACAAAAAATTGGACATTTTCCCTGAAAAGCTTTTGCTCCAGGAAACACTGAGATTGCAAGTGGAGCAAGCTTCTTCCTCAAGCAAGTTGGCACATGGCACAGAAGTTTCATTGGGTTGCATTCTGCTGTTGTGGCTTTTTTTTATAAGGTCATCATCTGTCAGCTGAAGGATCCTGCTGTAACACACCATCAGCTCCACCCCAAGGACAATTGAAAATCTCTATTCTAAACCCATATGTAAACACATGCACACATACACACAGCATGTCGCCATAATGAGAGAGTCAATCAACCTGAATGGGTCAAGAACATTGAAATTTCATTGTACCTGTTGTACAATGGCAATTAAAGTATTTCATTTAATTTCAAATGGGAAACCTTGGAGGAATGACTAATTCGGTATCTCAAATGTGAATCATCTCTCTACTTGTCAGCATAGTATTAAACACTTGCATACTTAGTGATAAATGTATATTTTGTCCTGGTTGTGTTTACATGTATGGAGTTCTGTGTGATCAAGTGGCAAAATCATATCAGACTCTTCCTGCCCATCCAACACTCCAAAACGTTGGAATGGGCCACTTAATCTAATTTTATTTCCACCAAGCAAATTACTACAGACTAAACAGGAACCATCTGCTCCAATTGCTCCATGAACAGAGACAGATTGCAAAACACCCCCCATAAAATATCATAGTCTATAATTCTGTGGCAAAGTTCACCTGGTGTTTTTCCCCTCTGCTTCTATATACACCTCATATGAAGTCCACAATAAAAAAGGCTATAGAATCAGGCAGGCATTAGGACTGGGGAGAGAGCGAACAACGTGTACAATGTGCTTTTTTAAAAAAAAGAAAATCAGATTGTTTTACCTCCTGACTGTGTACCAGGAAGAAGCCAGAGTGGATTCGAGAAGAGCAAGAAACGGTATTTTGAAAACTGACTCACACTTTGAAGGTTATCATTAAAATATATCAGACAATGTGGTATATAAGTAATTCTAATTTTTAGACTCTAGAAAAAGCTGTGCGATACTCTATGACCTACAAATCACTATAGAAAGACACACTATAGAGAGAGACACACTATGCAGAGACACACAGACAAGCGGCAAAGTGGATATGCTGGTAATGTTGATAAAACCAACACAAGGTGAAATTAAACAAGTAAACTAAACTTTATTTATATCACACTTTTTAGTCAGGTTTTCTAGTGCTACATAGTTACAAAAGGTTACAAAATCATCAGAATATTAATCTGCAACACTTTTAATAACTCTTTAATTATTTAAAGCTGCATTAACTAAGAATTTCGCCTTTTAGTGGAAAGTTGTTAATATTTACACCATCAACACAGCTATAAAAGTGAGGAGTTGTTTAATTATCAAAGTGTAAGGCGAAATGCTTCACATACAACTCACGGCTATGTGTGTCAAGTACGTAACAGTGAACGTAATGTGATAAGGGCCTGAACATTAGTACTGTTACATCATTACTGGGAAAAACATTCCTCTGTAGAATTTGCTTGTGTTACTGCAGATGCATCCGCTATAAAGAGTATTATTTGACATTGTGTTGCTGCAATGCCACCACAGTCTCTATGGGCTTTATATTCCACATACATTAGTTATGGAGCTGGTTATTACTGCTGCACTACCTGAGTGCCACAAATGTCTCCACCTGGCAACAGAAAGCTGTAGTAAACAAACCTGCAGGTCACAAATGTGGAGAAAATAACAAACACTAGCATTAGGTACAACAATCCAGAAACATAACATGGTAAATGTAAAGCTACACTAGCATTAGGTACAACAATCTAGAAACATAACATGGTAAATGTAAAGCTCACATGGGTTAATATTACACAACCCAGGCTAATGATCTCATGAAAGAGGACGCAGAGTATGTATGATGCAAGAACTGTTTGACAGCGTGAGACACATTAACAAAACTACACCCAATATTCAGATTAGTTTGCCAGTAAATTAAAAAATAAGAAAGAATCACTTTGTTATTTGCAATACATTCATTGCAGTCTTCATGTGGCCTGTGCTGCATGTAACCCGCCCTTCTCTCATACTGGAGTTTGAACTCACACATACTGTCTAGAGAATCTTTTTCATGGACTGTCATTCTAGTAGCAAGGAGGACTACTGTTGCCATTTTTAAGCATGGATAATTGAATATCAGGAAGGCTAGGTTGTGATTAATATACTTTTTTTTAGATGTGTGAAATTTCATTTTTAATATAAGCAATTCCCACTCCACAGACTTGTTAAGTAATGACACAACTTCTTTTATGTTTCTCTCTTTTACATTTTAGGAACCATGCTATTGCATCATATTTATGGAATATTTGCATTCCTCGGTGCATATCTGATTTCCTTTCCACCATCTTGCAATGGAGGGAATATTCTAGTCTACCCTTTAGACGGCAGTCACTGGGTCAATATGAAGATCCTGCTAGAAGATCTTCATGCCAGAGGACACAGCATCACTGTGATTAGATCATCCACTAGTTTGTACATCACAGAAAAGTCTCCTCTCTACACTTCCATTACAGTTCAAATGGATGGAGACACTGACAACTTTTTTGATGAATACCTAAAGGAGAATATAAGGGTATGTTATTATAGATAATGTATTGGGCCCCATGTGGGTCATTATGGTTATATTCATATATTCATGCTGAAGTGATTTTTTATTTTCCCTCCAAATGACTCAGATCTTATCTTTTCACAGATGTGTGAACAAACTAAACCTGATCTTTTTCAAATGAGATCTGGGTCACTTCCATATACTCTGTGGTCCTAGACCTGAATCATTTCTGATTACTGACCATGCCACCAATGTCAGAGCAGTCAGATCAAAATTCATGTGCTTTTTTAAGTCTCCCACCTTTGCACATTCACATATTGCCTGTTTTCATAATTCATTGTCAGCTCCTAAAAAACAGGTTCAAATAAAACATAAAAGAGAACAAAAACAGACAAGGGGTTCAGTGGAGAAACAAGGACCTTTAACATTTGTTGGACATTTATGAAGAAGCTTTTGATCAAACTAAATTGGAGGGAACATATAATTTTGTGAGGGAACTGTGAAATTTCAGTTAAATTTGTGTGTGCATAGCGTGGCCAGATACCTGTCACTTCCAAACATGAATGTTAACAATAAACAGAACAAGAAATGAGCAATAAAGCCTGTAACTTGAATGTAGTGTTAGTCACTCAAGTGTTTTCACTTTTTAGCATTTTTTTCTGACCATTTTTCAGGCACAGAGAGAGGGGGCCTCGCCACTTACTTTCTTCAAACTCACCAAGGATTTCCTTTCAATGATTTCCCAGGCACATTCACTGTCTTGTGATATCCTTCTTCAAGTCTTTAATGATGAAAATATGATCAAAAGCTTAATGGATTCTCAATTTGATCTTGTTATCACTGACCCAGCCTTAGGATTAGGGGTTATACTGGCCAAGTATCTAAAACTGCCTGTGGTGCTCAATGTTCGCTGGATCACCAGTGGAGAAGGGCACTTTGCGATAGCCCCCTCACCACTCTCTTACATCCCAGCACCAGGATCAGGCTTAACAGACAAAATGAATTTCATGGAGCGAGTCAAGAACTTGTTTTTCCATAGCGTTGTAATGTTGCAGCAGAAATTCATGGTGGGACCAAACTATGATGCCATCTGTGATAAATACATCAAGGGTGGATGTGACATCATGTCGCTTCTTCAGGAAGCAGACATTTGGCTGTTCAGGTCAGATTTCGTGTTTGATTTCCCTCGGCCTACCATGCCAAACATTGTCTACATAGGGGGGTTCCAGTGCAAACCAGCACAACCTCTGCCAGCTGACCTGGAGGAGTTTGTTCAGAGTGCTGGGGAGCATGGAGTGATCATCATGACTCTTGGAACTTTGGTTAATGCTTTGCCCAAAGAGATCTCAGATGAAATTGCCAGCGTCTTTGCCAAGATGCCTCAGAAGGTAAAACATGCTCAGTGATACATTCACAAAGATGTGACATACAGTATTAAATCCAAAATGCGTAAAACTCAATGTGGCATTTATTTGACATAGAGAAACCTGCAGAGTCTTGAATCAGCAAAAAATCCCTTTACTAATTAAGTGTAAAATTAAACTGAATCTCAAAGATAAAAAAACAAAAAACAACAAATTAGTCATAATGCCTGGGCCTTAAAAACAGATACATTGATTTATATAAGAGCTGAAAATAAATATATGTTAATAAATGGTTTAATGTGTTAAAAAAAAGGTCTCAATAAGTGAAGAACTTAACACTGCACCACACTGTTTTCAAGAAATTAATAAAAAATTTAATGGGATTTTATGTCCCATGCTAATCTATATTGCAGTTTTTTAGGGTTTCCCTTTTAATATGCCATGTAAAGCATCTTTGAATATCTTGGAAAGCACTCAGTTTAAATGACATTACATAATTTAAAGTTGTGCAGTGGAGACAAGCTGCAGCAATGACATCATCATGTTGTCTTTCTGCTGAGGTACATGTGCGCTGTAAATTCATAATGATTGTTTGTTTTCTGATCAGGTGATATGGAGGCACAAAGGGGAACAACCCTCTACTTTGGGCAACAACACTCTGATAGTGGACTGGATGCCACAGAAGGACCTCCTGGGCCACCCACAGACCAAAGTCTTTGTAGCTCACGGAGGAACCAATGGTGTTCAGGAGGCCATTTACCACGGGGTCCCTGTGCTCGGCATACCCTTGTTCTTCGACCAGTATGACAACCTTCTTCGTCTGCAGGATAGGGGAGCCGGAAAGATCATCCCGTTAGGTGATGTTAACGGACACAGTTTTGAGCAAGGTCTTATGGAAGTTCTTCATCGAGACAGCTACAGACAGAACATGCAAAGACTGTCACGTCTGCACAGAGATCAGCCAATGTCACCCATGGATCGGGCCATCTTCTGGGTGGAATATGTGATGCGCCATAAAGGGGCTCCACATCTGCGTACAGAGGCTTATAAGATGCCCTGGTACTCCTACTACTGTTTAGATGTAATGCTAGTATTGCTGACTGCAGTGACTCTCCTGCTGCTCTCTGCTTTGGCTGTTTGCAAGTTTCTATGCTGCAGAGGTAGAAGAAAGACCAAAGCCAAACAGCACTGAAGTCAGATTTGTTACAAAATATACTACAGTGGGTTTTCTAAAACTCTGTATAGGACATACATCATACGTTTATACATGAAAGTATGCCATTTGTACTTTTTCTTATTTTATAAAACAATCAGATGATTGATTTATCAATTATATATATATATATATATATACAGT